CAACATTGATTGGAGTGTCGTGACTCATTCTTTTCACTTTTCATTTATACCAGGTGTAGAGAATCTCCTCTAATATTTGAGGAGGGTAATTTACCTTGTTAACAGGCTCTGGCTGGGAAAATGTGTCACTGAAATAGGAACTGCTGTCTTTGGCAGCAGTTGCAGAAATGCACCATAATTTAACAGCTGTGTAAATAGTGTCTTCTGTCCAGTTTTGTTTGCTGTATTGAAGGGAGAATTATTGGAGGGGTGGGAAAGTGGGAGGTGGGTGAGGAAAGAGGAGAGAATTAAGTGAGACTTTGGATGACAGGGAAGGGGTTTTTGGGGCTTATGCTTGGTGGAGTCGGAGGCTTCTTTGCAATTCTTTCATAATTGCTTTTAGCAATCTAGATTAGATTAGAACTGAGGAGTTTGCCTGTCTGAAACAACTTTGTTCATGTTAAAAAAAAGTAAAAAAATACAGCATCTTGAAATAAAGGAGCCCAGATTTAAGCTTAGCATTCCAAAGTTTTAATTTTTGGAGTTAGAAGTGGTAGAAGTTTACTTTTTGGTGCAGTTAGAAGTGTTACCTTGGATTATTTGAACACTGGGCATAGCAACACTGCTTACTAGTGTCTCCTAGCTTCATAAGCTTGGATGCTCTTCTGGGTTATTGAAATTGATGTTCCTGAAACTAATAGCTGATACTGTAATTCTGCAAGGTTTTGCTTTTTAAGTGGAAAAAGCCAGCAGAATGTAGAAAACTGGAGAGAATTAATGTGTTCACCTTCAAGCTGATACTCAAAACTTCCCCTGTGTTTCAGGGCCCATTGTTAGCCTGATGTGGAAATTGATAGAAAACGTATATGCAGATGAATGATTAACCCTTCTGCTAAAGGTTTCCTATTTCCAAAGGTGTCTATGCAGCAGCTGTTTACCAAATGCCTTCTTTTGGGCAGAGGATTGTGCTGTGACACTCAGCAGCTTAAGGAAGCAAAATACGACACCCTTCAGTACAAAAGGGATAGCCTGATAATGAAAGCATGAATAGCCTTGATGGTCTGCTAGGTTGGGTCCAGAGCCACATGGATGTTGGAGTAGGTAGACTCAGCTCTACAGCACTTTCTCTTTTTTTTCTGTACAGATTTGGTCTTCTCTAATCCAAGATTTTTACAGTTCAGAGAAGTTGCAACCATATGTCCATTTTCATTTCTTAATAGTTGCTCAGTAACCTGTTTGAGGTTCCCCACAACATCAAGAGGATGTTGAAAGAATTGACTTTTAATTGGTAATGCTTGCCTAAATTGAGCATAAATTATCTACTGAAAATAATACAGTCTTCTATACACTAACAAGAAGAGGTAGAAATTTGTCCATGTGACATTTGTCTCATTGCTCTTAAAAATCCCCTTGTCAGACCTTTGCTCAGGCCTGGTAGTGTTTCACATCACTGTGATGTGAAACTCCGCATCTCAGCTTTTGTAGGGAGATCAGAGTGAGTAAAGCAGACAAGATAGGGTACACCAGGCACAGACAAGCTGTTTATTCCATATTTTTCTGTGCCTGTGTACACCAGGGACAGGCAGACAAGGTTTGAGAGGCTGTGGCAGAAGGGCTCTTGTGTTCGCAGGTGTCTGACTAAAGCCTGTGAATTGTCAACACAAGTTGGCTCTGCAGCTGCAGGAGGGGCTGAGTCCTGAACTTTCTCTTATGAGCTTTGCTTCTGTGTGCTCGTGTTGGCAAGTAATTGCTCAAATTTACATTTGCCCTGTAGTGGAGAAACTGTTCTGAACTCATAGCATGTTTTACTGCAGTGGTCAAATTTGAGAACCTTAAAAGCTCCTTTACAGCCTAGTTTGTCTCTACAATGTGTGAGCTTAAGTTGGAATATTTTTGGAAAACCACTGCCTTGGAAGTGCTGCAAAGGACTTTGAAAAAGCCAGGCTGGAGAAGCTGCTATGCCAATAGCTGGTGAATTGCCTGCAGTTTATTTATTTGGTACTTCCAGGGGTTTTAGGGAATGCTAAGGCCTGGCACAGTGTGGTTGTTAGTTATGGTAAATGTTTCATTTATGCTTCATTTACTGAGGGGTATATACAGGTATCTGTGAGATGGAGTTGCTGACAGGAAAGGTCTACACCCAAGGTCACTTTTTCAGACTGTAGTGTTTTAGGTTTGACAGTAGGAGGCATCTTCACATCAGCTATTTCTGGAATGGCTGCAGAACCTGCCTGGTATTTACTGAAACCTCAGTAATGGTAGCAGATGTGAAGCATTTTATATAAATGCAATGGTTTAAATATGTATTTCAAGAAAAGTAATGTAAAATCTGAGTGTGGTATTGTAGTGTGCCTAGCTGTTGAATGTGGTTTCTCAAAATAGTAATGCAAGAAACATTTGCATAAGTTCAGTTATGACTTGCATCTAGGAAAACAAAGTTTGTTATTCTTTACTGGCAAATTCTGCACAATATTTAATTTTATCGTGGAACTGTCAGTATTTCATCTGCACTAGTCTTGTAGCTTTTGACTGATCTGGATTTTTTGGTCAAACATAGTGTTTTAAGTGGCTGTTAATACTTGCTGGCTTACAGAGTACAAATTTAAATGAATGTTTTGCGTGTTTGCTTCTGACCACATGCTTAGGTGAATTTCACCGGGAATAAAGAGTGTGCTGTGAGTCTGTATATTAGAGTATGTCCATCAGTGTTTGGAGTTGGGTTCAAAATCTGACATTCAGTGCTTTGTCATGGAAAGGTGAAGTAGAATGAATTTAGCCTCTTTCTCCTGTATGTTTGATGAAAATATTGGCCTTCCACACTAGTCTCCATTTTTTCATATGATTAATTGCAGTTTACTGTCAGTACTGAGAACGAGAAAAAGCTCACCTTAAATTATACAGATACAGGCTGTGTGTTAATGTCCTTAAGTGTTACAGTGCAGTGTTGTGGGGTGGGGGCAGAGTTTTTTGAGTGCTGTTACAGTGTAACATGGCACTCTCAAATCAAATGTGATTTTCCTCACTACTGGTTAGTGCATTTACCTGGAATTAAATGGCTATTTGCTTACAGCAGTGGAGCAGCAACCAAAACTGAACAGGTGAATTGTTAGAAATTGGTCTTCTGTTGGTTTAGCCTAGTGTCCTATGCCTTACATAACCTCAGTATTTTATTAAGCTGCTCTATCTATATAGGTGAATGCATTTTAATCTGTTTGCTTTAGTAGGAGAGTTTCAAGATAGTGTGTCACATGAGCAGAGACCTCATCAGGAGCAAAGAAATCGGTGCAAAACACAGGTGAAAAGGCAGGAATTCTCTTACATTGCTCAAACTGTTTTTGAGGTACCTTGTATTTGCACAGTCAGCTGGAGACACAGATATTTGTGCAAGGAATTTAGGTTCAAATGGCTGTGAACTGCTGGTGGAGGCAATTGGTGAATGGTGTTCAGATCTTCTGAAAATCAGCATGTGCCACTGTTAAAATAGGCATAAAATGGTTATGAGAATGGATAGACTGTAAGATACAGTTCATTCAGCTCTAAGGAGAAGGGACTATTCTTTATATAAATGGATGGTTTAGGATATTGATTTCTTTTTCTGCCTAATTTATGGCTAGTCAAGTTGCCTTTGTTCCTGAGTGTTTTCCAGTTACCTCGAAAAGGGTAAACCAGCTAAATTTTAATTGCTTTTATTGCCTTAAATTGTTTACCCCTCAGCAGTTTATCAAAATTACCTTTGAACTTCAAGAGGAAAAGATTATAAGAGGAAATCCTTTTTAAAATGTTATCAGAAATAAACTCCATTGACGCTATCATCATTCTTGATTTTTTTTCTCTAATCTGTTAGAACACAGCACATGCTGCAGCATGATCTGCCTCCTAGCTGCCAAGATTAGTGTGAGAAGAGTTTTTTTATGGCCATGATAAATGTATGTTTAAAAACAGTGCTCTCAGACATAGTATGAAACTTCTAGCATTCAGTTTACATTGGCTTTGTCAGCCAAATTCAGCTATGTGGGATTTTGATTTACATCTAATACATCAGAGGATTAAGAATGAAACAGTTTCATATTAACCTTAGGTCACTTTACTTTTCTACTCATTTATTCAAAAGCTAACCTCGGGGGATAATCCAAACAATAAGCAAATATGTGGCAAAAAAGCAGAGTGATAAAAATGCTCTTAGCTCCTTGCCAGTTTGATTTTGTTTGGTTGGTTTATTTTTTCCCCAAGTCTGTTTTTGCAATTTCCATGCATTGAGGTCCTGCTGTTTCCTTAGGGCAGTGGTACAGATGTCTTTTTTTAGACATTACTCAAACTGCTGCAGAAGGTAAAGATTTATTTTATATGTACAGTTGAAGCTGCTTCTCCCCAGGCCAGGGTAGGAATCAAGCTCTTGTACCGGTTCTTTCAGGCTTTCTTTTGTTTAATGGGGCGATGATCGCTTAAATATCAGGGTTCCGCTGGAAACTGGCAGTCTTTTACTGGGCTTGAATCGAAAACATGCAGAAGAGGGCCCTTTACTGCTCCTGCCCAAGAAGGCAGGATGAGGAACTACATTTCAACTAAATAGTGCGGGAACACCCCGAGGAAGGCAAAGGAGCACTTTGGGGCATTTGCCGTGTCCTGGTATTCTCCGTGTATCATTCTAGCGCTGGTTGATACGGCGGGGATCCCCTTCCCTCCGCAGCCGTGCGGTGCCGTAGCCCTGGGCGGGGCGCCGGGCCGGGCTCGCTGCCGGGGAGCGCAGCCCCCGCCCCGCCCCGCCCGGCGGGCGGCCCCGCCGCTCCTCCGGCCCCGCTGCTCGCACCGCGCTGGGCTTCCCCGCGGCCGGCGGGCGGGAGGAGCCGCTCTTTCCGCTGGGTGTCACTCTGGGGTGGGAGAGGCGCATTCAAAAGCGGGAGGGGAGGGAAAAGCCCGCCGACAACCCCGGCCGCCCGCACCGGCAGCGCCCGCCGCTCGCCACGCCGCGGCACGGGCGGCAGCCGCTCCGCTTCCTGCGGGCCGGGGCGCTCCCGGCCCTCCGCCTCGGAGCCGGCGCCCGGCGGAGAGTGCTCGGCTGGTGCCGCCTGCACCCCGAGCCCAGCCCCTGCGGGCGGAGGCCGTCGAACCCTTCCAGAAGGATGCTGGAGAGCGGCTGTAAGGCGGTGAAGGAGGGCATGCTGGAGAAGAGGAGCGACGGGCTGCTGCAGCTCTGGAAGAAGAAGCGCTGTATCCTCACCGAGGAGGGGCTGCTCCTCATCCCCCCCAAGCACCCCCCGCCGCCGCAGCAGCAGCAGCAGCCGGCCGAGCCGGCGGCCAAGATTAAGGAGCTTCACTTCTCCAACATGAAGACGGTGGACTGCGTGGAGCGGAAGGGCAAGTACGTGTACTTCACGGTGGTGATGGCCGAGGGGAAGGAGATCGACTTTCGGTGCGCCCAGGAGCAGGGCTGGAACGCGGCGATCACGCTGCAGATGGTGCAGTACAAGAACCGCCAGGCCATCCTGGCCGTGCGCTCCACCCGGCAGAAGCAGCAGCATCTGGCGGCGCCCCACGGGTCGCGGCTCCGCGGCGCCTCCAACTCCGCCTAGCGCAGGTACGGACCCGGCTCCGCCGCTCCGGCTCCGCGGGGCTGCCCGCCCCGGCCGCCTCTTCGCCTGACGGGTGCCCTGTGTGCTCTCTTCTCGCTGCAGGTCACGGTCACGGAGCGCTGCCGAGGAGAGGGACAGAGCGCGTTCGTGCCGGACCTGCCCCAGGGGCTCAGAAACTGGGCGGACGCCGGAGGTGCGGGTAGAGCGGAGAGAAGCGGCTCAAGAGCCCGAACCTCAGCCAGCTGCTGCTGCTGCTTTGCCGCCCTCGGTGCCGAGAAGCATTTCAAATCCATTATTTATGAACCTTGGAAAGGATCCTTTGGTGTGATGGGACTTCTAGGAGACATGATGTACTGTAACTTTATTTTAATGTATTTTATTTTATTTATTAGGGTTGTTTTCTTTTGGTTTTGTTTTCCTTTTTTTTTTTGTTTTGTTTAAGGCTTATTTGCAAGACATTTCTGAATGTAGGCCATATCAAAAAAGTAAAGGAAAAAAACAATATGCATGTAAGCTCCCTAAAAGAATGGAGAAGTTCTGGGTACTTTGACTGTGTGCAATTTGACAAAAAGATTAATAATCTTTTACCCAAACTACACTATATTCCACCAGCATGGAAAATGTGATGTGTGTTTCAAAATTTGGCTGAAACCTGTACTGCATATGAAACATATTTTCTCTAATGAGAACAAAAATTATAGACTGGGGCTCAATTGATTTTTTTTTAATATTAAACGTGGTGGAAGATGATAAAATGTTATTCATGCTTGGCTATTCAAAAAAGCAATGTTGCTTGTCATTCTGGGATTGAAACCAACCTGTTTAGTGTATGAGTTGAAGGAATCTGACCAACTTCTTTTGTGATACAGGAATCTGAGTTGGACTCCAGCTATCTGTGTGGTGTGCTTGCTCCTAGGCTGGTGGGCCAGGGCTGGGAAGTGTTCATGAATGTTTCTTAGCTTCCAAGTCCAGGGCTCCCTCTGCACGCTCAGTTTTCAGAGTGATCTGGACTCTGTGTTGCATTTTCATGGTGGTTTTTTAATGTCTTGCATTAAAGCAGTCTGTAGTTTAAAATTTTATGTATGTTTTAGCGTGCAAATGGATTATTTTGGTCACAGTTTTTATAAGCTGAAAGTTGCTCTCTAGCTGAGATGAACTAGATTAATTTTGGTGTTTAGCACTGTCAGATGTTGAGAGAGGCGTGCCATCTTGCCTCTAAAAACGTTGACGAAGCCATGAAGTTGGAAAACAAAGGGCTAATTGCACAGCTGGTGTGTGTTTCTCTGCCTCTTAGAAGTCAGTGGGGTTGGGCTGCCGATGCCGGCCGGATCTCCTTGCCCGGTGCAGAGGAGGCCGTCGGGCACGGGCAGTGACATCTCCAGGACAGGGCCCTTCTGACGGTGGCTGCCTCACCTCGAGTGCTGCCGCTGCCCAGGTTCTCGGGTTTAAATGAAAGGGGGAGGCTGCAATGGGACAGAGCCATGTGGCCCATTATCTCTGGTCCAAAGTAAAATGTCAAAGCCATGGAGATATTTATTTTAGCTAGTGTGGTGAGGAAAATGGCTTTTGGCCCCTTTACAATTTACATTAATATAAACAAAATCTTTTAAAGCTACACATCCAACGCTTTTTGTGTAAATGACAAGAGCCTTAGATTCTTGGTGCAAGCTTGTTTCTGTCAGTGTTTAAAGCAAAAAGCTGATGTGATACTCAAAGGGAGATGTTAGAATTCACTATGGTGTCCCTCGGTCCCTTCCTCTGCACTCTAAGATTAAGTCAGTCCTGTAAGGGAGTAAGTTGAGGTCTGTGCTAGCCCTTGTCTTTTGTTCCCTCCTCCAGGTGTCAGGGTCAGAGATCTGGACAAGTAAAGCATGGTATGGTGCAGATCAAAGCCCTGACAATGCTCTGTAGTTACTCCTGAGCACTTATTTTCAACCTGGCCCTGGCCAGGGCTGCGTGGTGAACTTGGGGTGGTGGATTACAGCTGTCCTAACTAACTAAATCACTATTTGGCCATTAATTGAAATCGAAGGTGCCCCTCATCTTCTAGGATTAGGTTCGCTGGCTTGGCAATCATAACACTGAATTTCCACTTCTCTGTACATCTGCCATTATCATTCTGCTAACGCTTGGATGTTAGAGCTGCAAGGGGATTCTCTAATGAGCTAGTCAGAGACTCACAAAATAGACTGTAATTTGGCTCCTCTCTTTACAGTGATTAACAACAGTTTACTGAGAAACTAATCCACCTTTTCAGGTATACAGATGTATTGCTGATCTCACCTACTAAAATACATTTTAGCCTACTGAAGGATAAATGTAACTGATGAGAATTAATTCCTATTTGATCAGAGACACATGTATTTCTCTGAGAGAGGCAGTTATTCTTGTCCTCGGTGGATGCAAGCCTCTATATGCCACAAAAGTCTGTGGCTGTAGTCTAAAGCTGAAATTTTACTGTTCTTCTGGAAGTACTTGTACTTTGAAAGCTAAAGATGATCATTTTAGTGAGAAAATTAACATGAAGGTATGAGGAAACTACATTCATTTCAAATTTGCTATTCTTTTTCACTGGTTAAAGTCAATACCCCGCTTTCATGTTTCTTGTTTCAGGTTGGTCTAAAGGAGGATCTGAAAACCTTTGGGACTGATGTAGTTCAACAAACTTTTGTTCCTTGTCATTGCCTGCTGTGTTACCTGTTTGGAAACTTTGGTGTCAGCCAGCCTCCTAGTGTGAGAGGTGGTCACATCACAAAATCTACCTTGATACCTCCAGCCTGAGTGGGTGGGATGGGTGTAAGGATCAAACTTTTCCCTCGTGTCTCCGAACTGTCTCCTGGAAACTGAATGGGAACAAATTGGCTGGGGTTCCCTGGGGACAGATGGACCATGTGGCTCATGCCCTGTCAGTGTAAATAAGGCTAAATTATCTGATGGGGACAGTCTGACAGCTTTCTCACGCTCTGAATTCCATGGCGTGTGGGGATTTTAGGGCTTTGGGGTTTTGTTTTGTTGTTTTGTTTTGGTTTACTTTTATTTTTTTTTCCCTTGACTGATAGTAATTTTAGACCAAGAAATTGTTTGATGTTATAAGAGGTACTTCTGGGGTTTTTTTCATCTTGCCCCTCTGTTACTACATAGTCTTCATTTGAACATCTGGATTTAATACTGTTACTGCATTGTAAGCAATGGCTATGAAAATGGGTTCAGCACAGCATGCTCCATCTTATTGGAGCTTTACAGATAAATAAAGTTGTCCTTCCTCTTCCAAAAAAAAAAAAAAAACCAAAAAACCCGGAAAGCAATCTGACAGCACATGGCTGAAGTAAATTCATTACAGAATAAACAAAAATGCTGGTAAAACATACACAGGCAAATGCTTGATATAGACAGCAAAAGTGGGAACAGCATTCATAAAAAGGTTAAAGTTACTTGTTGTAATAAAAAAGAAAAAAGTAATTAAGGGGTGGATTTAGCAAGAAAATCCAAGCTGTGACCAAGACAATTTAGGAACTGGGGCAAAAGGAAGACCAAGTGGATGCTGTTTCTGTGACATCCTGAAGTAATTCCTATTTTTAAGGTTCATGGTATTCAGATGCCAACTTCTGAATTATAGCTGCAGTGATGTACAAAATGTTTTCTAGCATATCCTCTTGTGAGCAGAAATACCAGTGTCGTCAAAAAAAATTTGTGTGTAAATATGACTCATAAATGATTTCTGAGAGATGTGATTTATTTTTCATATTTTTCAAGATACATTCCATTTCAAATAAAGAGGTATCTATTGAAAGAGCTCTCAATATGTTGGAAGAATGGTTGTTTTGTGGGCTATTTGTGATGATTAAAGCCTGGTATAAGCTTTTCCAATGTCTTAAGCTCAGTCTAAGAGCCTAAGAGGAACACTTTGAACCTGGGTAGGTACTCTCTGAAGACCCACTCAGATGCTCCAATTAATCTTTATATATATAGCACCATGATGAGATTCAGAGTCCTCAGTTTTGCTTCCTGCAGTGTGTGATGTGTGAACGCCCACACCAAGTGTAGCTGATTTCTGTAACACTCCGTGTCACAGTTCATGTACAGCAGGCCTTTGAGGCACAGAATTCAGGCTCATCACTGTCACCTGTAAATGCCGTGCTCTGTGTGACATTAGGAGGCCTTAAATGTGCCTTGTTTCTCTTTTTCTCAGATCTTAAGCACTATGATTGAATTGCAAGTAACCTGAAATGAATCCAGAAAAAAACCACTTCCACCATCTGGCATAAACTCTGACCTGTTCTTTTCTAGCTTCATGGGAAAAGAAATTAGGTGTAACAAGAAACATGTGCTGCTCTGGGCTCTCTGTAGTGCTGCAGCTGCTCAGATGTCTTGGACTCCCCTGATATGTATTTGTATGGCAGCAGGTCCTCATTTCCAAGCATCTGCTGAAGGTGCATTACTTTCAGGGACACAGGGTGCATTGACCTAGACATGTTGGTGCTGCTTGCCTTCACTGGGGAGATGTCAGTAACCTCTTCCATAAGAAGGCTTTTATTGTAAAAAGTACAAGTTCTCTTTTCAATAGCAAACACCCTAAAATATAGGCATTTGAACTTAATATTGATATGCAAATCATAGCTTCAAGATCTGACCTCTTACAAGTGCTGGTGCTCAGCAGCTTTGAAAAGTCAGTTAAGCATCTCTAAATTTATTATCTATTCAAGGACCCACTGTTCCTTACAGCTGTTGGAGGTATCCCTTATAAGCTTTTAATAGCAGTGGTAAGTGTCTTTGTAAGGACATAAATATAGAACAAGAGTTTTATAATTGGTGGTTGTTTCTGCTCCAGCACTAATGGTGATATCTTCACAAAGGTACATCAATACATGCTTCTCTGCTTTAACTTTTGATTAAGAGGATGTGAAATAAGACTGCTTATGTATTTGTGGTCCATATGAAATGGTCCTAGAAAATAGCTCGTTATTTTCCTAACAGGGGATGTTGTCTTATTAGCATTTTCTCTTAAGTTTTTTCTCGTCTGAAGTACAATGTGGGGTACAGAGAAATTATCTGGATCTGATTCAAAGTTCATTGAAATCAACCAGAATTTTTCCAGACTGGGACAGATGTTGGCCTTTTTCACAAATGGTGGCTGCTTCTCTTTTGTTTTAAAACCCCAGAAGCAAGACCTTTGCCTATGATCTGTGTCAGTATTGATGGTGTGTGATTAGGGTAACACTGACATTCTGCCCTTTCATATTTCCCAATTAAATGACGGGGAGAGGAAGTTGAAATAGTGCTTATGCTTTTTGAGCAAAACAAAATACAAAGGAAGGCCAATCTAAATGTGTGTGTCCTCCTTCCCCCAGATGAAATCTAGACCAGAATGCAATTTCACTGAATTCAAAGCACACCTCAAACTGAACTATTTTCTTTGTAATTGAACCCAAACCAGAATTCAATGAAAGCCTTTACTCCTCTGAGTGCTTGTTTCTATCAGGAACAACTCAGTCCTTTTTAGAAAGTGCCAAATTACTTCCACACCTATCCACATTTAAAAAAAAATAAAATTAACCATCATAAACATTTTCAGCTTAAGTCTTTTATAAATTTGAAATAAGTGTTAAAAAAATAAAAGTCATGAACAGTACCATGGGTGTTTGTAACGTTTTTTTCTGTCTTTCCAGTGTGGGATTTTTGATGTGTTAAGTAGGGACCCTGGTACACGCTTCTCACAGTGTTGCTTTGTGCCTTCTGTGCTGAAGATGAGCAGAGGCGCCTTTGGGCCTGCTAAGAGCTGAACATCCTCAAGGTGTCCTGGCACCCATAGGAGCTGGGAGCTGCCTGGGACCTCAGCATGAGGCTCAGTTACTTGTAGAATCTTGGCCCAATGGTGCACGGTGAATCTACAAGGAAAGGGACATCAGCTCCTCTACAAAGCACTAATAAGTGAGGCTGTACTGCTGGCTGGCGTCTGCATGGATCTTGTGCTGTGCCTCTACAGCCTGGTTTCATTGCAGTACCTACAAGTTTTCCTCAGGAGACTTGTAGAAAAAGCCAGGGGTGAGGTTTCTGTGCTTAAGTGCTTGGGGTTTTTTTGGTTTTGTTTAGGCTTTTAGAAAAACATCAAAGCAGAGATGTGTATCCCAGTAGAGGCTCATCACAGGAAATTTAAATTAGCCACTCTTGCAGCCTTTCCTGGTCTTCTCTTAGATGTCTCTGGCTATGCCAGCCACCAGTGCAGGGGAAATGATTGTTTGAATGGGGGTTAGATTTGCCTTTTGTGTTGTATTGTGCTATGACTACAGTGGGTTTCTGATAAACAAAATTTCTAATGACCCTGCTTCCTAATCTTGGCCTTGCAATAGTTTGTGAGCAGCTATAGTAGATTAACTAAACCAGAAAATATGTATAGAATGACTAACCATTACAATGAAGCATACAGCCCTCTGTGGTCAGCAGAATATTTCAATTGAGACAATTTACCCCATGTTTTGTAAGGCTTCCAGCAAGATGAAGAAATCACTGCTTTTGTTTTTAAGATCTTGTCTGTGTTTTGTAAATATTTCTGATATTTATGACTGTACATATGGCTTCAATTTTAACTTAGGCTCAAGAGCTGGGTTGCATACCATCTAGGAGGACATTACTTAATTATTGTTCATTTTTGTCAGGTTTTGAGGCTCAGCCTTTAGGGCCTTTTGTGCCTACAAAAGTAAAAGTATAGCAGTGAACCTGCAGCTCAGAGAGCACATACGCCCTGTGCTTGGGTTGGGTGCCAGAGCCAGGGTCCTTTGAGGGAATAGCTCTCCATGTTGCTGTGTGCCTTGGAGCTGGGCCTGGGATGATAATTCTCTGTGCCAGCAATAGCACCTCTCTGCAAGGCCCTCAGCCCACTTGTATATCATATCTCTGTTTTGGAGAAGAGGAAACTCGGGACCGGAGAGCCCCTGCTGCCTGCCCAAGGTCATGCCTTGGGAGCCAGAGAGCAGTGTTCCATTGTTCCATCCATACCAGGCTCCCTGTCCCTGTGTGAGAAGGGCTGCCTCTCACCGCACAGCCTGCTTCATTTCCTGGGCTTGGTAGAGACCTTCCAGTGTCCAACCCCCCTGCCAGTGCCACGGCTCCTTGGATGGAGCCCTCAATGGGTGACTGCCTTGCCATCTAAGTTCCAGCCTTAAAGATTCATTGTATTGCAGTTACTTGCTCCTTGGAGACAAGAGCAAGGCAGAAACACTTGGGCTTCACTTGGGATTTAGCAGAATCTTGGATGATTTCAGATTATTAAATCAGCTTCTGGCTATTCCCAGCACTAAGCATTGTGCAAACGGCGTACTAGGGATCTGTGAGTTGTTCCCTATTTCCTGAGCAATTAAGCTCCTCTATCTGCTGTGGATTACAAGGACAAAGAGAGGTTATCAGCCCCATAATAACTGGAAAGGACTCTGTAGATATGAATCCAGTGTTAACGCAGCTTTTCCAGCCTGATACTTGCTTTGACTAAAACACAGAAAATAAAGGGGGGAGAAATAATTTTCTTTCTCTACTATTCTCTGTCATTTAACCACTTCACTCAGAAAGAAGGAGCTTTGAGAGAAATCCCTTTAGTCAGAGACACTCATCCTAATCTTGTTTTTCTAGCAGGAAAAACCTAAACTGACTGGTGGACAAAGCTGTAGGAGCCAACCCACTTATCCTAGCTTGCTGCTGGACAGTGGTGGGGCTGTGTGAGTGGATCTTTGTGGGCTTTCACAACAGCTCCTTCAACGATCTGTGGACCTGAAAACTCCATGTCTTTTCCTGTGCCAGCAGCTACTGCAATATGCAGATGACTTTGCATAGGGGCTTTTCTTGTATGCAGATGAACACATGAAATATTACTGTTCTTTTAAAAGTCAGCCTTGAACTGGAAAAGCTATTCTCTATTGTTTGCTTCGGAGGCTGCTGCTACTCTCAGCCAGTCAGAGAGCTGTGCCTCCAGCTGAGTTAAATGTGTACTGGCTGCTTTTTTCATTTTTATCACAGATTGTTAATATTTCCTGTTCCACTAAGCCACGTTTCCCTGGTACTCTTTCCTAGTGCTTGGCTCCTAAACAAAGTCACAGCTCTTGTCACAAGGCAGCGGGCTGCATACTTATCCTTTATGTGAGTGTCGACTGAGGGCTCAGCAGTAGGGAAGTAATGCTGACAGCTCTGCTCCAAGACAGCAGATTGTCAGCATTCCTCACCAGGGCACCTAGCTGGCCTGGGAAAAGGGCTGCTGTTTTGGGGGTGGGGGCTGGGCCTCTAAAATAAACTGCCTGTCCTTCCAGAACTGAGGAAGATGGAGAGGGATGGTCAGATGGCCTCTTTCTGGTCAGAGGAAGGGTCAGACTTATGCATCTGCAGAACCCAAAGTGAACACTGCAATTCTGCAGGCATGAGCTGAGTTGTTGGGTACAAAGAGAGAGGGGTATCTGATGGCTGAGATGGCAGTAAGACCCCATAACACAATGTTCATGTATTTATGGTCCATATGAAATGGTCCTAGAAATAGGTCATTATTTTCCTATAATTGTTCCTAATTATGAACAATTAGCCATTTCCCCCCTCCACCCCCCTCCTCATTAAGAGGAAAGTCTAGCTTGCATTAGTGGAGAGGATGACAGGTGGGCCTGTTCCTGTGCTGAAGATTAGCCCAGGCAGTTGGGAGCAGCAGCTGCAAAGGAGAACTCAGCTTCTGCTGCCCCAGGGAAGCTGCTACAGTCACTCCCAAGCAATTTGGAAAGTGTTCCTGTGTGTTTTCCTGAGGGCTTAAGAAGCTTGCAGTCCTGGCCCACAG